ATCTCCGATCGCAAGTACGGCAGCAAGCCGCGGCAGTATAAAGTCACATTCAAAGCATGCGATCGCGACGACACTCGGTGGATATCAAGCGCAGAGTTGAAAGCATCCGCACTGCTGATCTACGCGCATTATGAAAAGCGCAGGTTAGCTCAGGAAGCTTCACGACCAGCCCCTCCCACCCGGACTGTGGTCCCTCCCTCAGATAGACAGCTTCGCCCTCGCAGGTAAGCTCGGTTCTTCAAGGTGGGGGGGGGCGGGGCATACTGCGTAGCCACACGGGCCCTGCAGGGCCCGTCCCGGACATTCAGCCTAAAAGCCTAAAACTTAGGGCTTACAGGCCCCGTTCGTTTCAGCCTGGATGCTGAAAAACGAGGGCCTGCAGGCCCTACCTCGTTTCAGCCTATTTCAGGGTCTTTTCAGATCCAGATTTTTCAGCCTGAAACGGAGGGCCATTTTCAGGCCCTCATTATTTTGACCTGCCCCTAAGACTCGGGCACGGAAACAGGGCTGCGGAACAGGCCCAAAATAGCCTGTTCCTCACGTGCTCGAGCAGGAGCTGCAGCTGCAGCCCCTGCCTCCCTTCGGCAGGCTCAAGAGGCACACCCGTAGTACATAGGAGGTTCCCATGCACTTCACGGGTAGGTAGTGCTCAGTAGGCACGAGTAGTCCTCAGGATTCGGCCGCAGCACTCAGGAGCAGCGCTGCAGTAGTCTTCAGCGCTAGGCAGTAGTGGTAGCGCGGCGCTGGGCGCCATAGCTGTAGCTGTAGTCTTCAGCGCTGGGCGCTGGTAGGTAGCAGATCGTGGAGTGGGAGAGCGACTGGCGGAGGCCAGTGTTACTTACCTGTGGCGCCATCGCTCCAGCTCCACCTTCGTGGTACCTGCATCAAGGCGCCAACTTCACAGGTTAGTACTGGACACAGAGAGAGAGAGAGAGTTCTTCTTCTTCCTCTTCTRAGTCCACCWTCTCTTCTCACCCTCTCACCACCTGACTTCTCAGACTACGACAGAGCGAGACAGAGTTGTGACTTGAGACTTGACGACATTGGATCCAGACTTGACATTTGAGATTCAGACATTCCGACGAGGGACTATTTGGGCTTGTGCCGAAGACTTGGTGTTGACGACATTCCCATCTTCCCCCTCCTCTTCATCTGTGTATGGTATGGGCTGGCGCAGTCTTCCTGTGTGAAGCGCCAGGCCCATTTCACACCATGTAACGATGATGATGATGTATGTTCAGGGCTGCATTTCAACATTGATTGTTCGGATCACTGGTATCTAAGTCTTCCGTTGTGCTATCTTATACTTTGTATTGAAAGGTCGGTTCTTGTTCTGGTCTGCACGTTACAGTATGCAACACCTGTCCTCTCTCACACCCGAAGAACCACCCCTGCGCCTCACTCTGTCCAAGCCAAGCCCGCTATGGAGGCTGGCTATGGCGCTGCCCTCAGCAGCGCCCTGTTCCCCTACACGAGCGCACGTGTGTTGCCCCTTGCTCCTCTGCCGGCAGTCAGCCTGGGAACTTTTGCTCCAGCAGCGCTGCTGCCCAGCCAGCAAGTGACCGAATGCGCTGCCTGGCCAGAGCTCTTTCCTTTATGGACAAGAGCTGGCCAGCTCTCGCAGCCTGGCTGGGCTGGCCTGGGCCCAGCAGCTTCCGGAAGGGCCAAGGATGCTGTCTGGATGCAGCAGCTACTGGGCTGCTGGGCCTCGTTCGGTTGGGCGCCCAACTGTCTCTGTATGAGGCTGCGAATCACGCCCAGGGCCTGCATTCTTTGGAAAGGCCCGGTAGGCCGTGGAAATGTCTTCGGTACTCGGCCTGTGTTTCTTTCAACCAACTAGCGCGTCGCAACTGCCTGGACCCCAAATATGAAATTGACAGTCGAGGGCCTCTTGCAAAAAGCCAGGCCCGCCTTCACTTAGGGCGGGTAAGGCTGCAGACAGGGCCCCGTAGGCCTACCGAGGACACTGATCCTCGCATATATCACACACACACACACACCAAAAAACAAAATAGAGTCGCAGTGTATATTTCCATGTTCTAGCAGAAGAGTCATTTGTTCTACCGGAAGATTCATTCCGATTTTGCTCATCCTATCGACCGACGTAGCCTCTCTCTATCTCTCTGCGTGCATGCCTGGAAAACTCTCTCTCTCTCTCTCTCTCTCTC